TGCAGAATCCATCAGAGGAGCAGGTGGATGCAGCTGAGCGTGTGGTGAAGTATCTGAACTCTCACCCAAGCATTGGAGTTCAATACTCCGCATCTGCACAGGTGAAGCAGAAAGGGGTTGAGGTGCTGAAAGAGAAAGGGGAGAGGCTTGGAGAAGGCAAGCTTTTCCTCACTTGCTTTACCGATGTTACGTGGGCCTCTGAGAAGGAGGATTCCTCATCTGTGGGAGGATACATCTGCGTAGTTGGGGGAGGACTTGTTAGTTGGAGGTCAAAGAAGCAGACGGAGACAGCACTCTCTTCTGTGGAATCAGAGTACATGGCGATGTTCCATGGGGTGAAGGAGGTGATTTGGCTGAGGAGGCTGTTAGAGGAGATTGGCCGGGAGCAAAAGGTTGCTACGCCGTTGTTTTGTGATATCAAGGGAGCTCTTGGGATGGCCAGGAACGCTGTGCTTCATGGGCTCAATAAGCACATGCGTATCAAGTGGCACTGGCTGCGTAAGGAGGTGAAGAGGGGGACGGTGAATCCGATCTACATGGAAGCTTTGTGGTTCGGCTTACTTGATTGCGCAGATTCAGTTCTATCCAACTCGAAATTGTACTGTTTTGTTTGGTTGACTATAGTGTAGCAGGGCAGGCACTATAGGGGTACAATTTAGGTGAAGGTTGGATGTTGTTTGTCTGTATCTGCATACTACAGGGTTAGGGGAAACCAGCAGAACCAGCATTTGGCTGGTTGGGCAAAGACAAAACAGGTTCTGTTTTTAGGACCTGAACCTGGTTGTTGTTTTCCCAGGTTGGAAAAACAGAACCAGAGGTTGTTCACCAACCTACCACCTGCTATTTTGTCCATCCAGGTTGGTTCTGTTGCTTCGAATTATTTGGGATCATCCCTGGTTGTTCCCAGGTTGATTCCCAAGGTCCTTGCTAGCTAGAGCTATTTATTCCTTCTCTGTTTGTACCTGAATATAGTGAAATTGATTCAAGCGAATTCCTTCCTTGCTGGAATTTCCTTTCTACGCGGTGCGACGGCGAAATGCTACCCGAGTTAATGCTTGTACGCTAGCAGTCCAACGCTAGGCTAACGCTGTCCGAGCCATAACTTCGTAATGGCAGAACTTTTCGCGATGCAACTTGGCTTATTTTAAAGCTCTTAGAGTGAGCTTCGATATAGGAAATTCTCAGCTTAATCCGATCGACGGTCTGCACGATACGCTGCGCGGCGTTCAAGGTACTCTTGCTGTTTTGACTAAGTCCCTCTTGATCCCTCTCTCTACAAACTCCGACCCGAGGATAGGGGCTGGTCTTGTACGAGGCACCCAAGGACCCTTGGAGGTGGCCCCGAGGAGAGGTTTTAAGTGTGATAAAGTCTTAATAGCTTGAGATTATTAGGCCATTACACCAACAAAGAGGGGGACGGTGAATCCGATCTACATCAAGACTCACCAGCAGCCAGCAGACTTGCGAAGAGGCTTGCGAATGAGGCTTGCGAAGAGGCTTGCGAATGAGCCTTATTGGCGTTGTGTGCGCATGAGTGGAATGAGCATGAAATAGTTTGGAATGATGGGGATGCAGCCGGCAGGCTTAGGGGGAGTGTGTTGGGTGCAAATTCACATTGCACGACATCCTGCCGTCTGTTTGTATGGGTATCCGTGTGCGAATGCATTTGGGTGTGAATGGAATATTCATGTGTTTGTTTGCTTTCGCAATTTTCGCTTGAAGCATTTGCAGGTACTCACGCATTATGCGCTACTGCACAACATTGTACGCGCAATGAACAGTACAAGCAGAAAGGACGAGCTCGCAAAGGAACCCAAGATGGAAGCTTTGCGGTTCGGTTGAATTGATTGTGCAGATTCAGTTCTATCCAACTCGAAATTGTACTGTTTTGTTTGGTTGACTATAGTGTAGCAAGGCAGGCACCCTACAGGTACAATTTAGGAGAAAGTTGGATGTTGTTTGTCTATTTCACATGCTACGGGGCCAGGGCAAACCAGCGGAACCAGCATTTGGCTGGTTGGGCAAAGACAAAACAGGTTCTGTTTTTAGGACCTGAACCTGGTTGTTGTTTTCCCAGGTTGGAAAAACAGAACCAGAGGTTGTTTACCAACCTACCACCTGCTGTTTTGTCCAGCCAGGTTGGTTTTGTTGCTTGGAATTATTTGGGATCATCCCTGGTTCTTCCCAGGTTGATTCCCAAGGTCCTTGCTAGCTAGGACTATATATTCCTTCTCTGTTTGTACCTGAATATAGTGAAATTGATTCAAGCGAATTCCTTCCTTGCTGGAATTTCCTTTCTACGCGGTGCGACGGCGGAATGCTACCAGAGTCAACGCTAGTATGCTAGCACTCCAACGCTAGACTAACGCTGTCCGAGCCATAACTTCGTAATGGCAAAACGTTTCGCGAGGAAACTTGGCTTATTTTAAAGCTTTTAGAGAGAGCTTCGATATAGGAAATTCTCAGCTTAATCCGATCGACGGTCTGCACGATACGCTGCGCAACGTTCAAGGTACTCTTGCTGTTTTGACTAAGTTCCTCTTGATCCCTCTCTCTACAAACTCGGACCCGAGGATAGGGGCTGGTCTTATACCAGGCACCCAAGGACCCTTGGAGGTGACCCCGAGGAGAGGTTTTAAGTTTGATAAAGTCTTAATAGCTTGAGTTTATTAGGCCCTTACACCAACACACTCGAGTGGGTGCGGACAAAGATTCTGGAGGAGGACTTCCGTCGCCGCCAACTGAGGGGTGGAGACGACGGCAGCAGCGGCTATGGGATGCAAGGAAGCCGATGTGGCAGAGGACGTGGCTTCAGTGGTACTGGACGCGGTGCAAAGAAGGACGACGACTCCAACGACCAACAAGGAGGTACCGGTTGGGGTCGCGGTGCGAAATCTGGACGTGGGGGCAAGTCGGGTGCTGGTGGCAAAATGAAAGGCAGTTGCTGGTATTGTGAGAAGGAGGGGCACCCCTGGTTTTTGTGCTATAAGAAAACCGATAGATGGACCCCCCAGAATCGTCACCAGGATGGTGGCGCGCGGAGGAACCAGAAAAACGGCGCGAGCATGGTGTTGGGTGCAAATTCACATTGCTCGACATCCTGCCGTCTGTTTGTACGAGTATGCGTGTGCGAATGCATTTGGGTATGAATGGAATGTGTTGGGTGCAAATTCATATTGCACGACATCCTGCCGTCTGTTTGTACGGGTATGCGTGTGCGAATGCATTTGGGTATGAATGGAATGTTTGTGTGTTTGTTTGCTTTCGCAATTTTCGCTTGAAGCATTTGCAGGTACTCGCGCATTGTGCGCTTCGGCATAATATTGTACGCGCTATGAACAGTACAAGCAGAAAGGACGAGCTCGCAAAGGAGCCCAAGATGGAAGCTTTGCGGTTCGGCTTACTTGATTGCGCAGATTCAGTTCTATCCAACTCGAAATTGTACTGTTTTGTTTGGTTGACTATAGTGTAGCAGGGCAGGCACTATAGGGGTACAATTTAGGTGAAGGTTGGATGTTGCTTGTCTGTATCTGGATGCTACAGGGCCAGGGGAAACCAGCGGAACCAGCATTTGGCTGGTTGGGCAAAGACAAAACAGGTTCTGTTTTTAGGACCTGAACCTGGTTGTTGTTTTCCCAGGTTGGAAAAACAGAACCAGAGGTTGTTTACCAACCTACCACCTGCTTTTTTGTCCAGCCAGGTTGGTTCTGCTGCTTGGAATTATTTGGGATCATCCTTGGTTGTTCCCAGGTTTATTCCCAAGGTCCTTGCTAGCTAGAACTATTTATTCTTTCTCTGTTTGTACCTGGATATAGTGAAATTGATTCAAGCGAATTCCTCCCTACCTGGAAATTCGTTTCTACGCGGTGCGACGGCGGAATGCTACCCGAGTCAACACTAGTACGCTTGCACTCCAACGCTGGGCTAACGCTGTCCGAGCGATAACTTCGTAATGGCAGAACTTTTCGCGAGGCAACTTGGCTTTTTTTAAAGCTCTTCGATGAGCTTCGATATAGTAAATTCTCAGCTTAATCCGATCAACGGTCTGCACGATACGCTGCGCGACGTTCAAGGTACTCTTGCTGTTTTGACTAAGTCCCTCTTGATCCCTCTCTCTACAAACTCGGACCCGAGGATAGGGGCTGGTCTTGTACCAGGCACCCAAGGACCCTTGGAGGTGACCCCGAGGAGAGGTTTTAAGTTTGATAAAGTCTTAATAGCTTGAGTTTATTAGGCCCTTACACCAACAAGCTGGTATCAGAGCTGCGTTATAGTGATCCTCGATATAGGTAGCTATGGCGGGGAACACCTCGGCGGTAGCCGGTGAATCTTCAGCCCAAGATCGTAGCGGCAGCCATGATTCTGGTGTTTCTGCGCCAAGGGGAGCGCGAACAAGCCAGGGCTTGCTGATCAAGGAGGTGCTGAAAAACTTCACCGTCGAGAAGTTCAATGGTGAGGGCTATGATGATTGGGCCTGGAAAATGCAACTTTATTTCCGTCAGATCGGTTTGCTGAAACTAATGATTGGGGAGGAGCCTAGATTGAGTGACCCCGCCCTTCAGGAAGATTGGGACGAGCGCGCCTCGGCTGGCTACTACTTGATGTCGCAGAGTTTGGAGCTGAACCAGCGTCACCACGTCATGCACCTGCTGCCGGAGGTTGAGTGCGGTCCGAAGGCGTGGACGGTGTTGAAGGAGCTGCACGCCCCGACCTCCGTTGTTGCAACATTGATGCTGGAGAGGGAGCTATCCGCGTTGCGCCTAAGCGAGGGAGAGCCGGTGCGACCTATCCTGGACAAATTGCGTGATCTCTACGCGAAGTTGGCGACCGCAGGAATCACCTACCCGGAGCAGACCAAGTGCCTGAAGATGCTCTCGCTGCTGCCGGAATCGTGGCTTCAATTCACGAGCGGATTGAGCCTGCCGCAGAACCAGAGCTTGTGGACGCTCGAGTGGGTGCGGACGAAGATTCTGGAGGAGGACACAGGCGCTGCTTGGACAATGACGCCGCGCAAGGACCTGCTGGACGACGTACGCGCTGCACCGATTAATGAGCTGTGCTCTGCCTCTGGACACATATTGAAGGTGGCAGGTGCGGGACGAGCTGCGTTTAAGGGAGCGGATGGCAAGCCGGTGGTGCTGCACGACGTGCTTCTTGCTCCTGAACTCAAGGCCAACCTCATCTCCCTCCATAAGCTTGGCAAGTCTGGGGTGAGCACTAGCACGGATGGGGCACGCACTTATAAGGGGAAGCTGGGCAATCGGGTGCTTTGGGATCTGCACGAGAGCAAGGACGTGTACAGATCTATGTGGCAGCTGCCGGCGCTGGCGTGGCACGGTGGGGGGCAGGCTGGAGAGGGGTCTGCATCCCAGGGGGAGTGCAACGCCGTTGGAGGGGTTGGTGTGAAAGTGTCGGCCAGATCTGGGGAGACAGATTGGGCAACTGCACACCGACGTTTGGGGCATGTGGCAATGCCTTTGCTGAAGCAGCTTGAGAAGGATGGAGCCGTTAAGGGCTTGAAGCTGAACGGACAACCACCCGATGATAACTGTGAAATTTGCCTCCTTTCAAAGTTCACCCGTTTCCCCTTTCATAGTGTGGCTGGCAGGAGCAAAAAGCCGTTGGAGCTGGTCCACATGGACTTGGTGGGGCCGCTGCCGGTGCAAGGGCACAAGGGGGAGCGGTACTTCCTAACCATAGTGGATGACTGGAGCAGGCTAATGTAGGCGTATCCGCTGAAGCAGAAAGATCACGCCGCCTCCACGATTCGTGACGATTGGCTGCCGTTCGTGGAGAAGCAAGCGGAGTGTGTGGTGAAGCGGATTAGGACAGATCGGGGTGGTGAGTTCCTTGGAGCTGAGATGACGGCCTGGCTCAAGAAGCAGGGCATCCAGAGGGAGCTGACCACGGCTTACACCCCATAGTCCAACGGTGTAGCAGAACGGGCGAAATTCATCATTCAGATGGATATATCAACGGCGTTCCTCAATGGGATTTTAGAGGAGGTGTTCATGACGCAGCCACCTGGGTATGAGGATGGTACGGGCAGGGTGTGCAAGCTGAAAAAGTCCATCTACGGCTTGAAGCAGGCGCCACGCTGCTGGTACCAGAAGTTGGCAGCTGTTTTAGAGGAGATGGGATTCAGGACCAGCAGCTGTGATGAGAGCCTCTTTCTCAAGGGCGAGGGGGAGAAGCTGGTGCTGTTTCTGGTCTATGTGGACGACATTCTTCTCTTTAGCAGCAGCATGAAGGAGATCCAGAAGGTGCAGCAGCAGCTGATGGAGAACTTCAAGTGCAAGAACCTTGGGGAAGTAAAGTACTACCTCGGGATGCACGTGGAGAGGGATCTGGATCACAGGTGGTTGAAGCTGCACCTGGAGAAGTTCATCAAGGAGCTTGGGGAGAAGTACGGGATTGAGAATGAGCGCAAGGTTGCAACTCCCCTGCCAGCAGAATTCAAGCTTGTGAAAGCTGCAGAGGATGAAGGGGTTGAAACCGAGGAGCAGCATCAATTTCAGTCCTTGGTGGGCAGCCTCTTGTATGCAGCAGTTCACACAAGGCCCGACATCTCATTCTCGGTTGGGCAGCTGGCTAGGGTGGTGCAGAATCCATCAGAGGAGCAGGTGGATGCAGCTGAGCGTGTGGTGAAGTATCTGAACTCTCACCCAAGCATTGGAGTTCAGTACTCCGCATCTGCACAAGTGAAGCAGAAAGGGGTTGAGATGCTGAAAGAGAAGGGGGAGAGGCTTGGAGAAGGCAAGCTCTTTCTCACTTGCTTTACCGATGCTACGTGGGCCTCTGAGAAGGAGGATTTCTCATGTGTGGGAGGATACATCTGCATAGTTGGAGGAGGACCTGTTAGTTGGAGGTCAAAGAAGCAGACGGAGACAGCACTCTCTTCTGTGGAATCAGAGTACATGGCGATGTTCCATAGGGTGAAGGAGGTGATTTGGCTGAGGAGGCTGTTAGAGGAGATTGGCCAGGAGCAAAAGGTTGCTACGCCTCTGTTTTGTGATAGCAAGGGAGCTCTTGGGATGGCCAGGAACGCTGTGCTTCATGGGCTGAACAAGCACATGCGTATCAAGTGGCACTGGCTGCGTAAGGAGGTGAAGAGGGGGACGGTGAATCGGATCTACATCAAGACTCACCAGCAGCCAGCAGACTTCCTCACCAAGAGGCTTGTGGATGAGCCTCATTGGCGTTGTATGCGGATGAGTGGAATGAGCATGAACTAGTATGGAATGATGGGGATGCAGCCGGCAGGCTGAGGGGGAGTGTGTTGGGTGCAAATTCACATTGCACGACATCCTGCCGTCTGTTTGTATGAGTATGCGTGTGCGAATGCATTTGGGTATGAATGGAATGTTGGTGTGTTTGTTTGCTTTCGCAATTTTCGCTTGAAGCATTTGCAGGTACTCGCGCATTATGCGCTTCGGCACAACATTGTACACGCTATGAACAGTACAAGCAGAAAGGACGAGCTCGCAAAGGAACCCAAGATGGAAGCTTTGCGGTTCGGTTGAATTGATTGTGCAGATTCAGTTCTATCCAACTCGAAATTGTACTGTTTTGTTTGGTTGACTATAGTGTAGCAGGGCAGGCACTATAGAGGTACAATTTAGGTGAAGGTTGGATGTTGTTTGTCTGTATCTGCATGCTAGAAGGCCAAGGGAAACCAGCGGAACCAGCATTTGGCTGATTGGGCAAAGACAAAGCAGGTTCTGTTTTTAGGACCTGAACCTGGTTGTTGTTTTCCCAGGTTGGAAAAACAGAACCAGAGGTTGTTTACCAACCTACCACCTGCTGTTTTGTCCAGCCAGGTTGGTTCTGTTGCTTGGAATTATACAGGATCATCCCTGGTTGTTCCCAGGTTGATTCCCAAGGTCCTTGCTAGCTAGAGCTATTGATTCCTTCTTTGTTTATACCTGAATATAGTCAAATTTGGTTCAAGCGAATTCCTCCCTGGAATTTCCTTTCTACGCGGTGCGACGGCGGAATACTACCCAAGTCAACGCTAGTACGCTAGCACTCCAACGCTAGGCAAGCGCTGTCCGAGCCATAACTTTGTAATGGCAGAACTTTTCGCAAGGCAACTTGGCTTATTTCAAAGCTCTTGGAGTGAGCTTCGTATCGGAAATTCTCAGCTTAATTTGATCGACGGTCAGCACAATATGCTGCGCGACGTTCAAGGTACTCTTGTTATTTTGACTAAGTCATTTTTCATCCCTCTCTCTACAATCTCGGACACGAGGATAGGGGCTGGTCTTGTACCAGGCACCCAAGGACCCTTGGAGGTGACCCCGAGGAGCAGAGCTGCACCACCTGGACTATTGGGTGTTGGACACAGGCGCTGCTTGGACAATGACGCCGCGCAAGGACCTGCTGGACGACGTACGCGCTGCACCGATTAATGAGCTGTGCTCTGCCTCTGGACACATATTGAAGGTGGCAGGTGCGGGACGAGCTGCGTTTAGGGGAGCGGATGGCAAGCCGGTGGTGCTGCACGAGGTGCTTCTTGCTCCTGAACTCAAGGCCAACCTCATCTCCCTCCGTAAGCTTGGCAAGTCTGGGGTGAGCACTAGCACGGATGGGGCACGCACTTATAAGGGGAAGCTGGGCAATCGGGTGCTTTGGGATCTGCACGAGAGCAAGGACGTGTACAGATCTATGTGGCAGCTGCCGGCGCTGGCGTAGCACGGTGGGGGGCAGGCTGGAGAGGGGTCTGCATCCCAGGGGGAGTGCAACGCCCAGGGTACTCGCGCATTATGCGCTTCGGCACAACATTGTACGCGCTATGAACAGTACAAGCAGAAAGGACGAGCTCGCAAAGGAACCCAAGATGGAAGCTTTGCGGTTCGGTTGAACTGATTGTGCAGATTCAGTTCTATCCAACTCGAAATTGTATTGTTTTGTTTGGTTGACTATAGTGTAGCAGGGCAGGCACTATAGAGGTACAATTTAGGTGAAGGTTGGATGTTGTTTGTCTGTATCTGCATGCTACAGGGCCAGGGGAAATCAGCGGAACCAGCATTTGGCTTGTTGGGAAAAGACAAAACAGGTTCTGTTTTTAGGACCTGAACCTGGTTGTTGTTTTCCCAGGTTGGAAAAGCAGAACCAGAGGTTGTTTACCAACCTACGACCTGCCATTTTGTCCAGCCACGTTGGTTCTGCTGCTTAGAATTATTTGGGATCATCCCTGGTTATTCCCAGGTTCATTCCCAAGTTTCTTGCTAGCTATAGCTATTTATTCCTTCTCTGTTTGTACCTGAACATAGTCAATTTGATTCAAGCAAATTCCTCCCTTCCTGGAATTTCATTTCCACGAGGTGCGACAGCGGAATGCTACGCGAATCAATGCTGGTACGCTAGCACTCTAACACTAGGCAAACACTGTCCAAGCCATAACTTCGCAATGGCAGAAATTTTCGCGAGGCAATGGTTTACTTTAAAGCTCTTAGAGCGAGCTTCGATAAAAGAAATTCTCAGCTTAATCCGATCGTCGATCAGCACGATACGCAACGCGACGTTCAAGGTACTCTTGCTGTTCTGACTAAGTCCCTCTTGATCCCTCTCTCTACAAACTCGGACCCGAAGATAGGGGCTGGTCTTGTACCAGGCACCCAAGGACCCTTGGAGGTGACCCCGAGGAGAGGTTTTAAGTTTGATAAGGTCTTAATAGCTTGAGTGTATTAGGCCCTTACACCAACAAGCTGGTATCAGAGCTGCTTTATTGTGATCCTCGTTATAGGTAGCTCTGGCTGGCAACACCTCGACGGGAGCTGGTGAATCTTCAGCCCAAGATCGTAGCGGCAGCCAAGATTCTGGTGTTTCAGCACCAAGGGGAGCGCGAATAAACCAGGGCTTACTGGTCAAGGAGGTGCTGAAATAACATGACCGTCGAGAACTTCAATGGTGAAAGCTATCATGATTGGGCATGGAAAATGCAATCGTATTTCCGTCAGATCGGTTTGCTGAAACTAAAAAATTGGGGAGGAGCCTAGACCGAGTGACCCCGCGCTGCAGGAAGATTCGGATGAGCGCTCCTCGGCTGGCTACTATTTGATGTCGCAGAGTTTGGAGCTGAACCAGCGTCACCACGTCATGCACCTGCTGCCAGAGATTGAGTGCGGTTCGAAGGCGTGGATCGTGTTGGAGGAGCTGCACGCCCCGACCTCCGTTGTTGCAACGTTGATGTTGAAGAGGAAGCTGTCCGCATTGCGCCTTAGCGAGGGAGAGACAGTGCAACCTGTCCTGGACAAGATGCGCGACCTCTACGCGAAGTTGGCGACCGCGGGAATCACTTACCCGGACCAGACCAAGTGCCTGAAGATGCTCTCGCTGCTGCCGGAATCGTGGCTTCAATTCACGGGCGGATTGAGCCTGCCGCAGAACCAGAGCTCGTGGACACTCGAGTGGGTGCGGACAAAGATTCTGGAGGAGGACTTCCGTCGCCGCCAACTGAGAGGTGGAGACGACGGCAGCAGCGGCTATGGGATGCAAGGGAGCCGACGTGGCAGAGGACGTGGCTTCGGTGGTGTTGGACGCGGTGCAAAGAAGGACGACGACTTCAACGACCAACAAGGAGGTACCTGTAGGGGTCACGGTGCGAAATCTGGACGTGGGGGCAAGTCGGGTGCTGGTGGCAAAATGAAAGGGAGTTGCTGGTATTGTGAGAAGGACGGGCACCCCTGTTTTTGTGCTATAAGAAACCCGATGGATGGACCCCCCAGAATCATCACCAGGATGGCGGGGCGCGGAGGAACCAGAAAAACGGCGCGAGCATGGTCGCTGATTCGTCCGACAACAACCCGAAGAGCAACGGCGGTGCGGAAAAGAAGAAGGAGCGCACCGCGGGCCAGTTTTTCCATATTGGAGAAGGCGGGGAGCAGGGGGAGCACGAAGACGCCTCTGCTAAGGTTGGAGC